TCAAGACACCCCACTCAAAATCAGAACTATACTAAAATGTTTTAAAACTTCTATAACTGAGTAGATAAAACATGAAGTATATAATGTGGAATGACCTCAGCTTAATAATGTAGAGCAGTGAGCTACTGCTAACCCAAAGGGCTGATACCACAAAATCAGAGGAAAGGAGGATCTTGTGGGTCAGAGTGATATGTAAAGAGGCTTGGAAAGAGGAACTTGACTTGGGCCTGGGAGCAGGAGTTATATTTGGGATAATAGGAAAGACAGGGCAATGAAAATTATGAAACAAGGGCAGGGAAATAAGTGGGGAAGAACCTATTCTATTTGGGGAACAGGGAGAAGAGTTTAGCTATCATTATATTTGTGCAGGTGTGGCAGCAGTAAGAAATAGGGTTACTATGACATTTTTAGGACAGACTATGAAGAATCTTATATTCTGTTGTCAATGAGGACTGACGACTATGGAGTTGGGCAGTGATATATTCATAAGGATGCTTGAGAAAAACTCCCCCGACATGAATCTTCAGGATACAGGGCAGTGAAGAAGCAGAAGGACAAGATAAGAGATTGTTGAAGCACCATGTCCCTTCTATTAAGAGCTATAGTTAGTCTATACATGGGATTTAGGAATTTAAAAACATATTTGTAAAACATGTACTTTACACTTGGATTTTAAAAACATACTTTCATTAGGCTTGCTGTTTAAAAACTAAAAGACATATTATATTACTGATATGTCCCCTAGAGCAAGGGACATAAAGGAAAGAATAAACAAATGGGATCTCATCAAAATGAAAAGCTTCTGTATGGCTAAAGAAAACAGTATTAAGGTAAAAAGAGAACCAACTGTATGGGGAAACGTATTTGCCAGTGATACCTCAGACAAAGGTTTAATCTCCAAAATATACAAAGAACTCACTCGACTCTACTCTAAGAAGACAAGCAACCCAATTAAAAAATGGGAAAAGGACTTGAACAGACAATTCTTCAAGGAGGACATACAGAGGATCCAGAGACACATGAAAAGATGCTCAATATCGCTAGCTATCAGAGGGATGCAAATTAAAACCACGATGAGATACCACTTTACACAGGTCAGAATGGCCATCATAGACAAAGCAACAAACAAGTGTTGGAGAGGTTGTGGAGAAAAGGTGACCCTAGTGCACTGTTGGTGGGATTGCAGACTGGTACAACCACTATGGAAAACAGTATGGAATTTTCTCCTCAAACTAAAAATGAAACTGTTTTTTGACCCAGTAATTCTGCTGTAGGATTATATCCTAAGAACTCTGAAACACCATCCAAAAGAACCTGTGCACCCCAATGTTCATAGCAGCACAATTTATAACAGCCAAGTTTTGAAAGCAACCTAGGCACCCGTCAGTAAATGAATGGATCCAAAAACTATGGTACATTTACACAAGGGAATTCTATGCAGCAAAAAGAAAGAAGGAGCTTCTACCCTTTGCAACAGCATGGATGGAACTGGAAAGCATTAAGCTGAGTGAAATAAGCCAGGTGTTGAAAGACAAATACCATGTGATCTCACCTTTAAGGGGAAGCTAAACAACAAAACAAACAAGCAAGCAAAATACAACCAAAGACATTGAAATACAGAACAGTCTGACAGGGACCAGAGGGAAGAAGGGAAAGAATTTCAGGGGAAAAGGGGAAGGATTCACAGGAACAAGTATAAAGGGCACATGGACAAAAACTAAGGGGGGTGAAAATTGGAGGGAGGTGGGGAGCCCTGGGGGGTAGAGGGCTGGGATGTGAGTAAAAGACAGAAAACTATACTTGAACAATAATTAAATTTTAAAATGCTTTAAAAAAGAAAGACAAAAAATATATAGTGCTCTCAATAAAGAAAGGGCTAGTTTGGGGGGGAAGACATATTATAAGTTCTTCAATAGAAATTCCAGCCAATAATACCTCTGAAATATATCCAAAAACTAAGTAGTATCACCACTTAATACCTACCATCTTTTTACTCCACTGCCTCCATCATCTCTAGCCTGGTTTATTTTAGTGACCTCCTTTTCCTTCACTCTTTCTCCAACACATAATATTCTCCACACAGCAGCCAGAGCAATCCTTTTGAAATTTAAATCAGCCAATATCACTCTTCCATCAGAACCCTTCAAGGGTCTCCCCTTCACACATACACACACAAAGATTCACACTTCTCAGAGCTACCTCTCTACGTCAGCATTTAACAGTCTACCCATTCTTACTGAAATTAAGGGGTTCACCACTTGGAATGTTCTCTTCAAGAACAAGACATGGTTGTCATAAGATAATTTTATTTACTTGCAGCAAGCAAAGAATACAGGATACATCCAAAGCTGTCTCCCCAAACAGGAGGCTTAGACGTTGCTTATGTACACTATTTGGTTAATCACACGTTGATTACTCCTTGCAGTTGGCTACACTTATCAGTGTTCCTGGGTACCTGTCAAGCACTTCCTGTTTACAGCTCTATTTACAAAATACTGTGCCATATTTTAACATTAGCAAAAGAGCATTTAGAAAGAATTGCCCAGACCTTGAGACCCTTGTCCTATCTAACACCACCAATCATTCTGCTCCATGTGCTCCTACTTCAGGGCCTTTGCATTTGATGTTTCCCCTGCCAGATCTCTTTTTCCTGAGGTAATTTTATTACTACTTTCCTCCTTCCTAACATAAGGCTCTACTCAAATGTAATAAGAGAACTTGTACCTAACCATCCTATACCAAATAACACTAACTTTTATCACTTTCATCCCCTTACTCTTTAAAAAAAAAAAACCTCTTTTTATCATTTGACTATTATATTTCCCACCAGAATTTGGGCTTCATGAGGGCAAAGACATTTTTTGTGCATGGCTATCTCCCTAGCTCTTAGAACAGGGCCCGAGATAGACACTCAATAAGCAATTGTCATTGAATTATAGAACCTTTGGATGCTTTTGAGAGTTAGAGAAAGACTCTCTCCGTTTGCTGGTACTTCGTCATACTTGCTGCAGCTAGCTGTGTTCTGCCCACTCCCACTGGGTGAAAAAAGAATCAATATCAGGAAACAATGGCCACTGGAGATGGCCATAGAAACACTAGAATATCAGAGGAATTCGACAAGTTTGTACTGCCTCCTTAACTTAGCTGTTGGCTACTTTTGAATTGAAAGTATATTCTTTCAATGGAGATAATATATGATAATCCCATTGTACCAGGGAATGCTGGGCACTCATTATCATCCATGTTCTCTTCTTCATGATACCCAAGTAGCATGTTCCCAGCTCTCCATGCATTTGGGTAGAGTTACTAAACCGTTTCATTCAGTGGAAAGTGCCTGAAAGCACTGTATACCACTTCAAGGTCTGGCCTATAAAAGAAAAGAAAACAAAATCCCTTTCTTCATATAATTTTCTATGCTCTTTCCCTTTCTGCCTGCTAGATATCAGTGCTTAGGGAAACCTTAGAATTCACATGCTGAGGCTGGCACAGCCCCTATCTGCCTGGGTCCCTGAATGAAAGAATGAAGCAGAGCAGCCACTGACTTGAGCACCAGCCCCTTGATTTCGAGCCATTATACAATGTGGATTTATTTTTTAACATGCAATATTTGGCATAAACATACTTTTAAAAACCTATTGCTTATGTACAATTCAAATTTAACTGGGCATCTTGTATTTTTATTTGCTGAGTCTAGCCACCCCACAATAAGAAGAATCACATTCCAAGTGCTTATGTATTCACACTGAAACTTGTACATGAATGTTTGTAGCAGCATTCTTCATAATGGCCAAAATGTAGAAACATCCCAAATATCCATCAGCAGATGAATGGATGAACAAAATGTAGTAGACCCTTAGAAGGAATGTGATTTGGCCATAAAAAGAAATGAAGTGTTGATGCATGCTGCAACATGGATCAACCTTGAAAATACTATGTTAAGTGACAAATAGGCAGATACTAAAATCCACACACTATATTTCCAAAATAGGGGAATCTATGAGATAGAACATAGATTACTGGTTGCTTGGGACTGAGAGTAGGGTGGATGGGAGAACACAGAGGATAATACCTAAAGGATCCATGGTTCTTCTAGAAGTGATAAAAATGTTCAAAAATTGACTGTTGTGATAGTTGCACATATCTGTCAATATTCAAAAAACCATTGCATTTTATTCTTTAAATGTAAAATTCACTTTATATATACAATCATGCATTTATAATTATAGTACAGAAATTATATCCCAATAAAGTTGTTTTTAAAAAAAGTACTTACAGGGTTTCATGTCCCCACACTCTCCAAAGTCTGGGCCATTTCTCTGGCATCTCTGCTACAACATGGGAAGGTGTTAAGCAGTCCAGAAAGTGGTCTCGGAAACAAGGAGTTTAATGTGATACTGAAAAAAAATTGAAAAGGAACTAATTACCTTGATTCTTTTTGGAAGTAGTACTTGACTAAGAATTTTTTTAATCTTCCAGTATAATTTTCCCTGAAAAAGGATATATGTAAGTCATGAATATGTATCTCTGTAAAGCTGTTTAATTTTCTCTCTTAAAATCTGCTTTATTTTCTATTACTCAAAATTATGCCTTCAAAACGCATCTTCCTCCTTTTTCTTACTTTCTATCCATTATAAATTTGTTGTAATGTGTAAGGCAGTACCAGCATTTTACCTTTTTTTTAAGCTCATGCAGTTGATATTACCATGACAACTCACAGCAGAATAGTAAAACTGGTTAAATCCTCATACTATTTCATTTATAATACTGAAGTTTTAATGCTTGCCTCTCCATTTCAAATGACAATGCATTAGTTTTAAAGGTTTTTATTCATAAAATATAAATTGTTAAAGTGCAGTAAGTAACTTTTTATTTAAAAAAAGCAGGAACTAGCATGATGGCATTAAACTATTCCTATGAATAAATAAATTTTTCACTTTCTTATTTTAAGGTTTTTAAAGTCACACAACAAAATGAGAAAATATTTTTCTTTGTAGATATCAGCGAACGAAATCAAACAATTTTTATCACATATTTTGGAACGAAGAAAATTGGTCAAAGTAATCAATAATAAAGAAAATGTCTTAGAAAAAAAGAAGAATCAACATAAATTGAGAATAAAAGGAGTTCAAAGTAAAGATCTCTCAAAAACATATCAAAATTATTGTAAGTTGAATTCCCTTTCACACGTAAATTTAAAATAACTGTATAATCTAGAATTTTAAAGCTATTTTTTAAAAGTCTTACATTTAGTGATATTTATGTACAAAAAAATCTTAAATCTGGACATTTCTGTCTCTTGTTTAGATTCAGAATTTGTACTGATGATAATAAGCAAGGTTGATAATTATGAGTCATGGGGAAAATTCTCCAAAATTATGTGGCTAAAACATATATCAGCTATTCTGCTAATAGAAACCCATATATTTGAAGAAAACCAAAACTAATATAATACCCATTTTTCTTCTAGTCTATCTAAAACTTTCCCTAGTAAAGACACACCTGAATAATACATAAATTTCTCTAGATGCAGGAATGGTGTAGACAATACAATGTCTGCATAGATTCTGTGTATAGGAGTTAACTAGTGTTCAAATATAAAATTTTAGTCAATTTCAACATTTTATTTAAGCCTGATGCATGGAAGCTTTTTTTCTATAGATATGTATGAATTTTATTTTATGAACATCTTATTTAAGAGAGGAAAACATTTTTGACTGAAAAATTAAGATCCATTTTTAATGACAGTATAAAAATTATATATACATCTTTAATTTATTTTAAATCTAAATCATGTACATTGAAACATTTCATTTGACCATTTTTGACTTAGAAATATAATCAGGCTTTATTTAGCATATTAGCATATGCCTACTGATTGGCATTTCTAGTATAAACCTCACTCAAACTGCATCATCTAATGATTTCAGACTTTTAATGAAATGCAAAACTAAAGACATTTATGGAGTAAACTGGGCAGAATTCTTAGTCTGCAGACTCTTCCCCCACTCGCTTGTAGTTGCTTTACCTACAATTAAGTTAGATAATTTTTAGTGGTTCTCCTTTTTTAAGTTTTTTCATAGTATTCCAATTACTTTACATAAACACATTTTCATTCTGCACTTATATTCAATCAGTTTACATATCATTTTATCAAATTTCATAATTATGATAAAAGCATAACTGGTATAAACAGGTTTAGGAACAAGCACTCCCGATTTGGGGTAAGCAAGGAATGGGAACAGAAATTCACAAGGTACTGGAGGATCCCACTAGCTGTAAGCATTCAGTGTGCTGTGGACTTCAGTAAGCTGCGTAGAAGAAATAAAAAGCATTGGTTAATTTGGTAAATAAGGTAAGTAGAGGTTGTTTAAGAGAGCTTCTACAGTTTAAAAGAGTAAATAATGTCACTCTTCAAATGAGATTTTTTTCCTTTCATATGCAAGTGGTTATATTATGTCTAGTAATCAAAGTAAATAACAACCTAACTGTAACTGAGCATTTTCTATACTAATTTCTTTATCTAATTTAAGACAATAGGTTACTATTTTCTCCACTTAATGAAACCTGAAACCTGCAGCACAGAGAAATATAATAATTTGCTTAGTATCATAACACTAATACTTAATAGGGAAACTGAGGTTTGAACTTAGATGGTCTGGTGCCTGAGTCCTCCAGCTCTTAGCCATTATGCCTTTCACAAAAGTAAGCTGACAATATAAAGAGATTTTAATCCCATACATCTGAAAACAGTTTGGGGAAAATATTGAACTTACATGGTAAAGATGCTTCAATTTCCTGAGCACTAAATTTACTTGAAGGTTTTCAGGGAAATTTATTAAAAATTATAAATAATTAAAATTTTTCTATTTTAGAACAGCTAATAATATATGCAATATATTTCAAAATGCACAATTGATTTATCAAAGCCAAGACTTTAAAAAATGTCTTCCTGTCCTCCTGACACCTAGGGAGTATACATGCATTCATTGCTGCATCTCTAAATATTCTAAGTACATTTAAGAAGCCCTTCCTTACAAGTTATAATATTCTTTCATCAAGCTTTATGTAAATTAAAGATGGAGGCATAGGTGGAGTCTCAGTGCCTTCTCACACAACCAAGTTTAGAGACAACTAAATATTAGCAACAGAAAACAGAGCCAGAACACAGAAAATTGAACTTTTCAGAAGTCTGATAACAACAAATTCTTCAGCCTGACTGGTAAGGGGCGAAACCAGCAGCTGGTGGAGCAGGGTTGCACAGGAAAACTCGGTCAGACGGACTCAGGCTCGCAGAATCCAGGCGCAGGGTTGGACCTAGTGAGCGACCCAGCGAGCTACCAAGCGAGCGACCTCGGGGAAACAGTGAGGGAGCAGGGCCCCGGGTTGACTATGTTCGCGCATTGGTGCACGGATAGACAAGCGAGGGAGTGGGCGATTGGACAGGGACCCAGCGGGTCCCCACGGCAAGCGGCAGGGAGGGCGCCGCCATTTCTCTGCTCTGACCCCACCTCCACATACAGTGTCATAACCCAGCGACCTGAGTGGCCCAACCCTGGGGAACCACCTAAGGCTCTGCTCCTTACCCAGCGGCACAAAACAGCAGAGGGGGCCGACATTTCCCCGCTCTGACCCTGCCCCCACATACAGCATCACAACCCAGCGACCTGAGAGTCCAAGGCTTCGCTCCTCACACTTAAAGGGCACGAACAGACCAAAAATGGCTCAAGAAGATCTCAAAGCCCCAGAGCCTATAAATCTAAGCCATGAAGAAATAGCAAAACTCTCAGACGCACAGTTTAAAACACTGGTGATCAGGATCCTCACAGAACTAGTTGATTATAGCCACAAATTAAACATATGAAGGTGAAACTAATTGAAATGAATGGAATTGCACAGGAAACCAATAGCAATGAAAAGGAAACTGGGACTCAAATCAATAGAGTGGACCAGAAGAAAGCAAATAATGGCCAAACAGAAAAGAGTGAAGAAGCAAGAATTCAAAGAAATGAGGAGAGTCTTAGGAACCTCCAGGACATCTTTAAACGCTCCAACATCCGAATTATAGGGGTACCAGAAGGGGGAAAGGAACAGCCACCAGTGGAAAACTTATTTGAACAAATAATAAAGGAGAATTTTCCCAATCTGGCAAAGGAAATAGACTTCCAGGAAATCCAGGAAGCTCAGAGAGTCCCAAAGAAGATGGACCCAAGAAGAAACACACCAAGGCACATCATAAATACATTAGCCAAGATTAAAATGAAGGAGAGAATCCTAGAAGCAGCAAGAGATAAGGGGACAGTCACCTACAATGGAGTTCCCATCAGACTGTCAGCGGATTTCTCAAAAGAGACCTTACAGGCAAGAAGGGGCTGGAAAGAGGTATTCCAAGTCATGAAATCCAAAGACTTACAACCAAGATTGCTCTATCCAGCAAAACTTTCATTTAGAATGGAAGGACAGATAAAGTGCTTCTCAGATAAGATCAAATTCAAGGAGTTCATCATCACCAAGCCCTTATTATATGAAATGTTAAAGGGACTTATCTAAGAAAAAGAAGTTAAAGAAACATGAACAGTGAAAGGACAGCAAACTCACAGTTATTAACAACCACACCTAAAACGAAAGCAAACTAAAAGGACAGCTAGATCAGGAGTGGAAACATAGAAATGAAGATCTCAAGGAGGGTTAGTAACAGGGGAGTGGGAGGAGGAGAAGTGGGGAGAAGGTACAGAAAATAAGTAGCATAGACAGTAGATAGAAAATAGATGGGGGGGCAAGAATAGTATGGGAAATATAGAATCTAAAGAACTTGAGACACATGGTCATAAACTAAAGGGGGGGTAATGGAGACGGGGAGGTAGGGTGGAGGGGAATGAAGGGGGGAATAGAACAACTGTAATGGCATAATCAATAAAAAATAAATAAATTTTGTAAAAGCTTTATGTAAATTAGAATATGTGTTGCCCTGGTCAGCATGGTTCATTTGGTTGGAGCATCATCTGGTAAGCTGAAAGGTCACCAGTTCAATTCCAGGTCAGGGCACATACCTAGGTTGCAGACTTATTCAAGAATGGGTGCATATGAGAGGCAGCTGATCGATGTTGCTCTCTCACATCAATATTTCTCTCCCTCTCTTCCCCTCTCTCTAAAAATCAACAAGCAAGTCCTCGAGTAAGAATTTAAAAAAATAGAAAATATGTCCTTCTGATAGAAGTAAATATAGAAAAGTTATTATTGCTTGTATATTTTATGAAAGTCTTGCTTCAACAAATATTTTTAAAAGTTTTAAATCTTAATATTTTAAGAGTGCTTTTTTCCATATTTACCTCAAAAGACTGGATTGATGCTCAATTAAAGAGTGCTCTAGATATGACATGAGAATGTTGACATGTGTGTCACTCAGTATCAGTGTTTTGACAGGGAATCAATGGCACTTTTAAACTGAGTCATTTAAGAAAAGTTTAATAAAAGGACTGTTTCTAAAAGTGCAGACAGTATATAGGGAAACCACAAAGATTAGAACACTAATGGCATTACCACCCTGGGCCTGAAGAGTCACAGCCCAGTGGTGGCTACTGGAACGCTGAGAAGGAAAGCAAAGAGAAATGCGGAGAGGTGTCTGTGACAGAACTGTGACCTTAGGTCACAGGTTCTACCTGGGACAAAGCCTACCTGCAGCAACCCAGAATGGAAAGCCACAGAATAAAATACTCCTACCTCAGCTCTTTCTACCCTCCATACCTCCTGCTGGTGCCTTTCAGCCCAACCTAACCAGAAGCTAGAGAGGTAGGGAGTCTACTGGTACAAGCCCTGTGGATTAGTGTACCAGGGCGAAGCACAGGGTGAAGTGGATCTGGGAAGGCAATCAGAAGACATTCAACATACCAGGTTTTCCAGACAAAGAAATTAGATGGCATAAACTAAAAGAATGACTTTCAGTAGTACAGTTATTAAAATTTCAGAATTTTTAGAATTAAGTAGAGAACTTTAGATGTCATCTAATCTAATATCATCTTTCATCAGGCATTCCTGGTAGAGGACAACAAACTCCTACTTAAATATTTGTGACTAGGTTCACTGTTTTGTACATACAAAGCAGCTTCTAGCATTATTTAATTCATCTTTCATATGAAGTGCTTAGCATAGATTAAACCAAAATCACT